GTTCTAATTTTGACGCGAAACTCTAAAAATTAGCCGAATTAGTCATGCTAAGGGAGAGCCGCTAACCAAAGGAAACAAATTTTGAACTTTTTAAAGATTTTTTTCTACATTAACAAAAAAAAGATGTGACCTTGAAAATATGTGCGGGTTAAAGTTGAACTTTTGTCTCACTTTATGTTGCGTAAACCTTATGTTGTAGAAGCTTGCAGGTTGCTCGCACAAGGCTAAAACATTGAGCTTGCTACCTCACACAGAATCACGACGTGTGCACATGTCGAATAGTCATCGATTTTTTCCTTTTTTTATGCACCGCAAAAGGTTGGCCACTTCAAAAAGTTATAAAAAACTCCGATAAATTAGGTGTATGTACCGGTAATTCTAAGTAAATCAATTCCAATTTGAGTCAATAGAGTCGAAATTGCCAAACCCTTTCATTGGTATTCCAATGCTCGGAATAAGAATAAAAGGGTATCGATGGAATAGTTAAAACCTACGTTGAATTTAAATCTGTGTTTTATTTACAAATTATATGTTTCACTTGAACAAACTCTTTTTAGCAGGGCGAACCACGACAAAAATACACCAAATGTCTGAGCAATTTCCAACTGCATTCGCAAGAGTCTTCATTCTTCACTTCGCGGTAACGTCTGTCGCACTCGCACCAAATTCAGTGACGCTGTGGAAGGACAGGAACTTTCGTGGTCGGCAGTGCACGATTGAAGTGCAAGGATGCCAACCGGTTTGTCCTGGGATGGAAGCTCAGACTTCGTCTCTTAAAGGGACTACTTCTTGCGTCAATTTTTACCGGCGTCCAAACTGCACGGCGTACATGAGTACTTGGCACTTGACCGACGGGGATGTTTCGAACTGGAAACACACGCCCTTTCAAGACTCCATCGTCTCCGTCGGGGACTGTAAACAACCGGTTTTCGTAAGTATTGCCAACATGCAGTCTCAGTCGCGCTCGAATTTTGCGTCCAGTTCAAGGATGCAACAGGGATTTTGCAAAAAATGAGGGAGTCCCTGTTCTTTGAAGGGTTTTGGGAGGCTAGGGGACTCTGGAGGTTAGGCATCGCAGTGTGCAAGACAGCGATGTAAAAGCAACGCTTAAGTATAAATGTATTTTGCGTTCGCACATCCATGTTTAGGATATTTTAAAGTTTTGAGGGTATTTTATTTTAAAAGACATTCGAACCTGAGCAATTCAGTCATGAAATTAATTGAATCATAACGATGATCATGATATAGGGGGGGCTTTGGTAGAAGAACGCAATATTAATGAAAAATGAATTTACTCAAGGCAGGTAAAATTGATTTGTCGATGGAAAGCACACTATACAGAATATTAGAAAAACAATTCAAACAGTTTAGTTGGTGTTGGTGTTAAACAGGCGTAAGGCTGCAATTTCAACGAAAACAACGTTTTCTGAACCGAATTCTCCTGACGTGCAGTTATGATTGTGATAAATAGGCGTATATATAAAGCGCTTGGTATAGAATTTTCTTTGATCGCTTATTCCAACGTTATACTTCCAGTTTGATTTGACATTTTCGGGCATTGAGTGTCCTGGTATGTTCATAGATCAATCTCTCCGGTGTCCACGTCAAATAAGTTCACGCACTTTTAGACTGCGATAGAAAATCGTCTGACGTTATTATATCATGAAAAGTAAACAGAGGAAACAAGCCGGTGGATCTTCTGTCGCAGTCTAGAAGTGCGTGAATTTATTTCGCGTGGGCTTTAACTTGATTTTGCATTTATAGACGGATCATCCTTCAGGGACGGTCATAGATACTAACATTCATCTTTTTACTTTCTTAAAAATGATCATTTTCATACAATTTAACTGTCGAATTCAGACGAAGCCTATGAAAAGAATGCCGCACAGTAAATCGAGTCAATTAGAGAGGCCGGACATGAAATTTTTTGCTAAAACTGCAAATTTCGATGTTTATTTCGTCACGGATTCAAAGTCGAGGGGTGCTCTTGGAAGAAAATTTCACGAGGAAACTAATGGAGCCACTTTGGGAACCTCAAAGCTTTGTATAAACGGAGATATAAGCGTTTAAAGTTTCCAAATTTTGTCCGACCTCTCCTATTGACTCGATCCACTGTGTGCCGCCCAAATCTACTGCATACAAGGTGTGCCATTAATGCTCATTTTTCGTTTTGCAGCCCGCGAATACCATGACATTCTACGAGCACAAGCGTTTCGGAGGGAGGTTCTGCAACATGCCGGTGGGTGGGTGCAGACCGATGTGTCCCGAACTGGACAACCGAGCTTCGTCCGCTGAAGGAACCGCTACCTGCGTCATGCTGTTCGATAAGCCCAACTGCAAAGGTTTCTTGGACACGCTCAATCTTTGGAAAAACGCCGACGTAAATTTCGAGGAAGAATGGTATCAAGATAGTATCTCCTCCATCGCCGGATGCGATAACAATTCGGTAACATTTTATCAGAACATGGATTATAAAGGGAAAAGCTGCACTCTGCCGGTGAAAGGTTGCACACCGATGTGCCCGGATATGGATAACCAAGCCTCATCCGTGGATGGAAACTTTAGGTGCGTTAAGCTGTACAGCGAGCCTAACTGTAATGGATATTTGGGCGTGGTATATCCTCAAAATGACGATTGGAAACGACCACGTCACGATTATATCGATAACTATGATTTCAAACATAGCCCTTTCCAAGACAAGATTTCCTCCATCAGCGACTGCTCTAACAATTCGGTTACATTTTTCGAGCATCGGGATTTCAAGGGGAGGAGATGCGATATACAGTTGCAGGCTGGCTGCCAACGTATGTGCCCGGAATTGGACAATCTTGCTTCGTCCGTACGAGGAAATGCCGTGTGCATGTACGTTTATGATGATGCGAACTGCACGAACTTGTTACATTACATAAATTTCATATCCGATCCTTACACCACGAACTCCGATTTCAGATCGTACGTCTACCAGGACACAATCTCTTCCGTCAGAGATTGCGGAGAATCATCACAATTTCCGCAATTTGGCCTCGCTGCTTGAGAGGATCGGCTGATTTTCTAGGGAAACGAGAGGAGGTGAAAGGATTATTATGAGGAAAAAAATATCGCCTTGTTTTTGGTTTCAATTTGCGAAACCGCTCAAAAGACAGCAGAAATTTTAAGTCTCATGCAAATGAGCCGCCTGCATTGAATTGCGCCTTTGTAATAGTATACCATATTCTAATTCCTGTGTAAGGAGGTGAATTTTTAAAAAAAAAATAATAAAAAAAATAGTATAGTATATGAAGCAGCGGGCTGATAATTGAAATTAATAGACAAAGGTGTAGACAAAGAACACAAAGGGAAAATGGAGTGACCCCGTTGGTTGAAACGAGAGGTTGTTATGGACTAAGAGAGAGAATGATGGACTAACTGCAGGGTCTCTCAAACGTTGCTGTGAGTTTATTACCTTCTTTGCCCATTGCAACCACCCGCTTCCACCAACAGGATCACTCCATTTTCTCTCCGTTTTCTTTGCCTATAACTTTGTTGATCGATTCCAATATTTCGACCCTGCTGGAAGTTTAAAAATGCATATATTCAGATTCTTAAGTAACGAATGAATTTAAGACTTTACCAATGCTCTATTGGTGATTTGTGAGTCATTTTTCTGATGAGAAAACTCCCATTATAGCGCTAACTAAAGTTTGCGACGGACCAATTTTGAAAAACTTTTCATTGTGTACTTTTCGGAAAAATATAAAAAGTAAATATACTTTCATTAAATGGCCCATGATTGCTCCAGACTTAAGTCTGCTCATACCAGGGGAATGAATAATTTCCTACAGAATCGTTTCACGCGAATACAATACAGTTATCACACTGAAGATAGCGTAAATTTTATATTACACATAAGTATATTAATCCAATTTGGGCACTATTAAGCCGTTCTATTTTTCATACGACAATAAATAAAATGACTCTTAATTGAAGAAGTTAAAATATCAAAATTGTTCGAATGTTTTCCTTCGCACCCTTACAAATCATCGGCTCCTTGTGAATGCTGTCGTGTTGAGCCGGGTGAACATTCGAAAGTTGCCGAGTTTTGTCTGATAGGATACAAATCTGCCGTGCTAAGGAAGAACGTCGTATGAACATTTGAGAGTTGCCAAATTTTCCCAAATAAAACATGTATTTTTGAGAATAGAAATGCGCATTTTTCCTTCAAAATTCTAGACATTTCAGACAAAATTACGAGCAAAATTGTCTGAGAAAATTGAAGAAAAAAATCCACGATTTTCCCAGGAAATTAGGTTTTTATTGAAGGAAATGTGGCAACGTCAGAAGGTTCATACGGCTTTCTTCCTTAGCAGGGCAGAAATATCCGGCGAAACAGATGCCGATCCCTCATTGAATTTTTCACAGAACCAATTTTAAAATAAGTGTCGTGGGTCTTGGAATATCAAGGGAAAACTATTCATTTCGTAACTTATCTAGAAGAATAAACACTTCATCGAAAGAAAAGCTTCTTGCCAACGCAGATTCGGTGTTCTTCCTCAGCTTGGCAGAATGCATTTGATCGATATCGAATCATTTTCGAACGGTACGATTTCACCAAGTTGGAAACGCTGTTGATATTCCATTTAAACCCATTGAATGCATCGATTCTAGGTGAGATAACTGCCTCACCTATAATCGATTTTTTAACATGTATTTCAATCGAGAAAAAACAATCTTGACAACTTGCAAGAATCGCCACTACCATCGAATGATCTTGATCGATATATAACATTGCGAAAATAGGGATTCATTGCTAGAGATCATTCCGTCACAATCCGACAATGAATCGACTCGGAAAATTGATTGCGGTCGTTTCGACGCGTTCGAATATTGTAAACACAAAAACGAGGCGTAAAGAGAGAAAAATAATGACCTTCTTTGTACATTCAGGTGTTACCTTGACACGTTTAAGAATTTGTAAACAAAGTGACACACGGTCGAAGCACTAGGAGAGTTTTATTCGCGCATTAGATGGTAATAAAATTTGAGAGCACGGCAGACTGGACACAACGATACTTCGTGTCCGAATTTATTTTTCATGTATTTATTTTTTGATAGAACTCAACTTTTAAGAGCTCAAATGCGTTTCGGGAATCTTCGAACGTCATCGTTTTGGAACACCGGCCATCAATTTTGCGAACGATTTTGATAAACGTTCGGTAAGTACAAGTTCGTTTGCCAATCCTAGTTTATTTCATGCCGCAGCGTTTCAATTTGGGTACGGCTGATGCCGTAGATGAGCTGCACACTTCGGAAGTAAGTGAATAGATATAAAATAACAAGATTGCTCAGAGCTTATGGATCGTTCTCAGCCAAAGGACCAAAAGTTTTGTTGCTACTTTTCATTCTTTATGATATTTATTTATTTTCTTCTTCCGCGGGTCCACTGACAAGGTTGACTGGACACTTTTTGAACAAAAAAACCTTGTTCAATGCTGATACGTGCAGCGAGCTATTTTCTGAATTCACATTAGTTTTAGAGGGATTTTAGTGCGAAAAAGTGGGCTTTTCGTCATTTCGGAGACAACCTTCGCTGTCCACTCCGCCACTTTCTACTTGATTATTTCGTGCATTATAGTTATTTTCCCCTCAGAAGCTTTGCTCCGTCAGAAATCATGATCATTTTAGAACCATTAGACTTTTGGAATCAGGGGTCACACGGAGGGGTGCGTCGCCAAAAGTGCGACCAAAAATGTGTCTACCAGGAGAACGCTCGTCACGCCATACTTTTTCAGTTTTTGCAGTTTCATGTTCCTGATTGGACTGTTGTTCTAATAATCAAGGGGAAACTCATGAGGGGACGACCCCTTTACCCCCAGGAGGTGCTAAGGAGGGAGACACCCTCTCGAAATATAAACATTTTCATTTGAGGAGTACCCATTTGTGACGCGCGTCTCGAGCGTTCCTTTTGCCGGGGTTGCCACAGAATTTGGAAAATGAAATTCCCTGACATTTCCCTGATTACCCTGACACATTTAGGTGAAATTCCCTGACAATTGATGATATGACAGATGGTAAAAGGACATAATTTGAAATTTCAGGCAAAGTATGTTGTTCGAAACGTCAAACCCATTTGAAAAAGCAAACTGAGGTTACTTAACGAGTTTTCCCCAACATGCACTTTCTTCGTTATTTCTGAAATTTCCAAGTGTTCCCTGACTTGTTAAAATCCCCTTCCCGGTATTCCCTGACTGTAACAATCCTCACTGAAAAAAAAGAATCGTAAATTCGCCGCCAAGAAGTATTTTTTCTTAAATAAAGAATTTTGCTGCTTGATATAAACTGCTTTCTTGCTTTAACCAAGCCTTATTTTCCTTGCATCAAGAAAAATTGAGCTTAAATCAAGATGAAAAAATTCTTGGCGGCAAATTCAAGAATCTTCATGCTTGAGCCAAGCACCTTTTTTCTCAGTGTTGCCCATATTTCGATATGTCCGTTCTTGGCTTGACTAGAGTCCCTTTATACTGAGAGTCAAGACAACACCCCCTCATGGAGTCAAAAACGGGAAGAAAGATTACACAAATAATTGACAGTTTGTCGTAATCCTTGATCGGCTCATTCTCAAATTCCTTTCTCCGTTCCTTCTCTCATTCCGTTTGTTTCCTGTCAAACCCGTTATTCCCCGGTCCATTCTACACTATAATCTTTGCAATCGCTGAAAATGTAATCTTTATTCCCGTTTGTGACACTGTGGAGGCCTAAAATACGGGAACCAATCGGAAGTGGATTCACATTGTCTTGACTCTCAATATAGAGGGACTCTAGGCTTAACCTGCAATGATCCCTTCCGACACACTGACAAAAAACCTCGGTGTATTTACTAAGAAAAGGGTAAAATTACTAAGAATTCAGGGTTCTATTTGATCCCAGTTTTTTCTTTGTAAAATTACCACTTATGGAATTGGTAATTTTACCGAGATTTCTCGGTAAAATTATTGAACTTTCTCGGTAATTTTACTGGATCTTGGTAAAAACGCCAAAATTTTTTATCGACAGTGGTAGAATTACCGAGATAAAATGGCAAAGTTACCGGGAATTGATTACCAATAAAAGTGGTATTCCTACCTGAAAAAAACAGTAAAAATACCGGTTTTTAGGTAAGCTTACCAGTCTGTCTTGGTAAAATTACCAAAAGTTGGTAAAAAAAAGTGAGATGGTGAAGGTACCAACGGACCGTGGTAAAAACGACGAGAATTTTTTTTCAGTGTCGAGGCCTAAAATACGGGAACAAATCAGAAGTGGATTCACATTGTCTTGACTCAATATAAAGGGACTCTAGACTTAACCTGTAATGATCCCTTCCGACAGGACCCTCAAGGCCCAAGTTGTACCAAATGCGCGAGAAATTCGCACCAACATCGGCGGTCATCCTAACGCTCTACTTAACGCTCGTGTCCGTCTCTCCGGATTCGATAACGCTCTTCGAGGACAGGAACTTCGAGGGCGACCACTGTGACATCGATGTCGTCGGTTGCAAACCGGTGTGCCCCGGACTGGACAGGAAGGTTTCGTCTCTCAAGGGTAACGCCACTTGCGTTAACTTTTTCCGAGGCGCAAACTGCACGATGTACATGGGCTCTTGGAATTCGAGCATGAACGAAATCCGCGACTTGAAGCACACGGCCGGGCAAGATTCCATGATGTCCGTCGGGGACTGCAATCAACCGATTGACGTAAGTTTTGAAGTCTTGTTAATGCCTGCATAGACGATCAAATTCCCGAACCGATTCTGATCAAAGTAGCATCAAAGTGTCGGGAGTCATCAGTCTGAAACTCGTTAATTTGCTTCATTTTAAAATGAAGACTTGGCAGAAATGTTTCCTGTGGCAGGAAATGATGAATGACGGTGCTCCGGTCTGATCTTACTTTGAACAAAATAGTGCGGCCCGTCAAAATTTGATGGTAGATGGTGACCACCAGTCATCAGCATGTCTACTTTGATCGGAATTGGTTCGGACTTTGATCGTCTATGCAGGGCTTTAGAGAAAAACCCCGTGAAGCATTCTAACGTTGCTGAGTTTCTTTGGGTGGAATACAAATTTCCTGGAAAATTTATGATCGTACCTTTCTTGGAATGTTTCAGAGAATTTTATTTACATAATAATTTCTTAAAACTGAAAATTTTGACTTACAACTCATTGAATAAGTTAAAAGTAAGAATTAAGCAAGGCTAAAAAAGACTACAATTTAGACCGGAGTCGCTAAAATTAGAAAACTGAAACTTTCCTTCCTTGGTATTAAGTAAGGAAAGTTTGAGTTTCCTTATTTTAGCGATCCCAGTCTTATTCATTGAATAAGATTATCAAATGTGCATAGAGATTCCCTGCATTTTCGCATTTATATTATGCACGTGCAGAAATTAAAACACAAAGTGTTTGGCATTAATTTCACTGCACAGGAGAGACAAGTGAACCTTTTTTACTTCAGGTATTAATTATTATTATTTTACCAAAAATTGCGATTCCTGGATGATTCTATTCATTTATCCCCACACCATGTTCCACTTTTTCCAGACTTGTAGGCAGGAGCAGGGTTTAAATAAAATTTAAAAACTCACTAGTCAGAGAAAATTCAAAACTATCCGACGCGCATTTCGACAGTCTACACACACAGTGTTTATCTATGGAAGGTCTGCGGTAAAGAAATGTTTTTGTGAGCTGTATTTTCATCTATTGCTTGTCGTATTAACATCATGTAGGCAGTTGAATACACTGAACAAGTATTTTATTTTGTGGCTTTTAGCTCGTTTGATACATCATTTACCATGTCTTTAACAGTAGTTCAGCCAGCCAAATTTGGCAATGAAACGTATTTATCTGTAACTCTGATGTGTGACAAGACTCGTTGTACCTTCAGACACTCCAACACTGATCTGATCTTCCGTTTTGCAGCCTGCAAACTCCGTTTCGTTTTACGAGGATAAGTTTTTCGGAGGCAAGCGGTGCAACATAGAGGTGCAAGGCTGCAAACCGATGTGTCCGGACTTGGAGAACCGAGCTTCGTCCGCGCAAGGCGCCGTCTGCGTCAAGATATACAAAGAGCCCAACTGCACCGGATATTTGGGCGTCTTCGATTTCAAGGAGGGCGCCTTCGGAGACTTCAAATATACAACCCTCCAAGACACCGTCGCCTCCGTCTCGGACTGTGATTACGTGAAACCGTTCAAAGCGCCTTGATCATATTTGGAAAAAATAGCGAATGAAATGGAATTACTGCTGGGAAATAGATCACCTCTGTCGTGCACGGATAAAAAATCGTCGCCTCCCGGCCAAAGTATCACAAGCGCCATGCGACGTTTCAAAATTCTCGCCGCCTTTTTATTTTTCACAGAGAAATTGTTGGTTGAATCTGTTTGAAAATGTCACTGAGTTTTATCGGCAGCGCAAAGAAAATTCGGTGAAAAAAGCTTCGTCGAATAATATCTCTGGAAAAAATAAAATGGCGGCGGAAACTTTTGAACGTCGCATGGCGCTTGCGATACTTTGACCGGAAGGGGACGGAATGATGATAGTAGCTATTGGACCAGTGGCGTGGCGTGAATTGCGATGTATCGATTGTTCTTCCATTTAAACCCATGGTAAAGAATCGATTATTAAGGTGTTCGCTCCGAACACCCTGTTTATCGATCCTTTTCCATAGATTTAATCGCAGAGCAATCGACATATCGCAATGCACGCCACGCCACTGTATTGGACTGTAGGTTCAATAGGGGCTGTTACAAAAAGAAGTGTGGCTCCCACATCTATATCACCTCCATGCACTTAATGCATAGCTGTTTCTGTCCCGACATTATCCGTATCAAATTGTATTATAACCTTTGAGAAATACTTCTTGACTTCCTTGAGCCATAGTTCGGATAATAATCAAGAAAATTAGGTAAGCAATTCATATCATGCGATTTGTAGCATTAAAAAAGGACGAAAACTCCTTAAAATTAAAAGCAATGCGTTGTATTTACCTGGTTCTCTGAAAGATCAGCTAAACTTAAATTGTGTACTAGATTCCTGTAACAAAGAAAAAGAGGAAAATTACGTTGGATGTAAGAACAAGAGTATTTTAACACGTAAAGGTAGCTGGATTTAATTATGACTCGGTAACGATGGCTAAAATATAGAATCGATCCGGAGAAATTCCACGCACGGACTTCCATCCGTCTAAAGATGACAACGAAAATAGATTATTTATGAACGTATTATGAGCGTCTGGCTGTTTATCACTGAAACACCCTGTACACACACAAAGCAACCTTTCCACCAGCTCTTACTGAGCAGGAAATAGGAAGCTTTCATCGTTGCGGAAACTTGAATTCCCGGAACCGCCGTCGATATCAAGTAACATATTAGTAAAGCCACGGTTTCACAGGTACTTCGCGATGCGAGGCTATTCGCGCGAAATGAACCGCGCGACCGAGTGCAACACGGAAAAAAAAAATTGCTGATTCAACAATTCAATTGCTAAAAACAAAGAGTGCAATGTTTCAACGCAGAATTTACAACAAAAAAATGCTACTTTAACCACCCCCGTGGTTAAATTAGTTTACAATGTGGTTAAAGTAGCATTTTTTTGTTGTAAAATCTGCGTTGAAACATTGCACTCACTGTTTTTAGCAATGGACCACTAGACAAGGTACGAATTTAAGCGATCTGATACATGTTTCTTAACCAGAATTTCACGTAAAAAACGATTCAAACAACGAAAATTACTGAAACCAACTCCTAACGAAGATATTTTATTTTATTTCACATTGGTCACGAGGAATTTGAACTGCCCGCTCACAAGAAACTCAAAGCTCTACGTGAGTCAAATCGCCCACTACAACGGTTTCAGCAAGCTTCTCAATCGAGCAATGTTCATTTCCCACCATGTGTTGTTCAAACTATTAGCAGTTTGTAATAGATGAGCCAAAGTGTCAAGATTAAGGTTGCCAGATTTTTATATCGCAGAGACTGTCATGATAACGTTTAGTGCGCGATGTGAATCACTTAGAATATTGAGTTTTCATGAGCGGGTGGTTTGAATTCACGCACCAAGAATCATTAAATATCTTCGTAAGGAGTTAATTTGGGTAATTTTCGTTGTGTGCATCGTGTTTTACGTAAAATTTTGGTTAGGAAACTTGTATCAGAATGCTGAAATTCGTACCTTATCTAGTGGTCCATTGAATTGTTGAATCAGCAATTTTTTTTTTTCCGTGAATGGTTTAAAACCTACCTGTTGTTATGATAAGGCGATTTGAGTCGCCAACGTTTGATGGAACGGACCGGTTTGAAATCATTGAGCCTAGTCAAGCGCTTCTATAGTGGATCTTACGCGAGCGACTTCGAGTCGTAGACTGCCTACGGAACGGTAGCTTAAGTTAATCGATCGATCAAGTGTCAACTCCTGAAATCGGGCAATTTCCCAAACTGACTCAATTCGTGACCCAGTTCCTGCACCTTCTACAAAAAATTTAAGGGAGAGAACAGTGCATCCCCCAAGCCCCCAGCGGAGGCTTAAAAGGTCACATGCGATCTCTCCCCCATGAGCCGTCAAACGCAACTTTAACTCCTTAAACGTTTCCGAAGTTTCGGCTTTTCATCAAATTTTCTTCCTCGTTTAACGCACCAAGTTGAAAACGGAAGGGAAAAGTTCTTCTCAACTCAACAGAGAACTTCCCTGACTTACCTTGTTAGGATGTGCCGAGCGACCGATGGTGTCATTTTTGGTTAATTGAAGGAAGGTAAGGCGATACATGCATTTCTGTCGTGCTATGAATAACGCCATTTGAACTTTTAAAGGGAGATACGGCGATACATACATTTTTACGCGCTGAGGAAAAGTGCCGTAAGATTTTCAGACGTTGCCAAATTTCTCTGGATAAATATCATTTTCCGCCTAAAAAACGTCAGCTTCTTTTCTCTGAATTCTTTAATTAGTCGAATTTTTAGTTAAAATCACCTGCCGATGGATGCCAACAGGCAATTTCCGGCGTCACTAATGCGTCTTAAATCTCCTTTAGTGAAGGATGTTTTCTGTCCCCTTAAAACCTTTGCCTAGCACTGATTTTCTATCGAGCTTTAATTTGTCCTTTTTTTATTGTCCGTAACTTTTCCTTATATATTTTTCACTGTAAAAGAATGTGATTCTTTGTACCCATTATGTGACAAATAAATAAATAAATAAATAAATAAATAAAATTTAAAAAAAAAAAAAAAAAAAAAAAAAAAAAAAAATTACCTAGAAATTTTGAAGGGAAATATTTATGGTTATTTCAAAATTAAGCTTTTGATTCGACGAATTGATCGGATCTGAACTTCAACAAGTTTTGACACGATCTTTCCTAGCGTATCCTTACTGGCCCTTGGGGGCAATGGCGATTGGGCGTCGCACGGTGGATCGAGTCATAGGGCAGGCCGGACATGGCACATCACGCCACTTGGTTTGCTCATATACGTAGTGTTTGCGCTCATAAAACAAATCAGGATACATGATTCTTATGTATTTTTCGTCGCAGATTTCATTTTTGATGACTATTTTCCTGATTATTGGGTTTAGATATGTATTTTGGCACACTTTCAGATAAATAAAGAGATATTGTTTAACAACAGATAAGTTTAAACTTTCTACACTCATTTCAATCGAAGTTTTAAGTGTTCAATGGACTTTTCTCTCCGGTAAAATGTTTAAATATCGTATATAAAACGTATATTACTCATCTCTTTTACCATTCCCCCTCCTCTCCCCCAAAAAATGAATTAATAGAAATCCAAAAATGTTGAGAGAAAAACAGAGGATCTCCTTTCCCCTTCATTCCTGGGGCACCTTTTTAGCTTTCTAACAAAAGAAAATGACAAGGGGGGAAAATATGAGAGAAAAATACAAATCAAATACACATCAATCAACACAAATCATGTATTATCCGAGCCTTCCTAATTAAGGGCCCCGCGAGTCACCATTGTACACTGCCTTTATTTATACTTAGGTATCTAATGGAGCTTCTTCGGCTTAATGATTGCTGCTGAGGCTCAAATTACCTCAATTTTCTCTATTAACTTCTAATTTTCCGAAGAAATTAAACATAAAAAAAAAAAATCCGATGTCAAAAAACGCGAGTTTTTGGGAAATAGTTAGAAGATAGAAAAGAATTTAGGCCATTTTTGACTTTAGCACCAAGTAGTAGATGAAAAATGCTCCGTTAGACACCAACTTGATATAATTTTCCCGTCTTTTCAGACGCAAAACAAACGGATCAGTATCATATGCGTCGATTAGGACATTTGAGAGGAAAACCCCGTTATCTGAAACAACGTGGACATTTTTTTAACCACGCATGGCATGTTTTCTCATGTATTTATGTCTCCTGGATTCGAAAATGACCTTGGTTTCTCTTTACCATGCACCAGTTTTCCGGAAAATCACATTTCCCGAAAAGTCCATTTTAAGTGGAAAATCTCAATTTTCCGGAAAATCGGTGGGTGTTGGAGAAAAACCAAGGTCATTTCCGGACTCAGCACTAAAAATTACATATAGATCACCTATCAAATGCCCGATATTTATTCGCCACAGACCTGTGAAATTCGAATTCTCTCGAGCCACCATTTTATGAACTTCACTTTTTTAAAATCATTTAAGTTTTATTCCCAAAATGGCACTTTGAGGCAGCCAATTTTTCTTGATAATGAATCTTCAGGGATCAGTTAACACTGCTATACAAAGGTTTCCCTGAAATACGCTGAAATAGCTAGTTAAAAGTCTAGCTATATTATTATTTTTACGGTATTGAGGAGGGTACTTTTAAGCAAGAATACCGCTTATAAAAATAGCGATATTTTAACTTGTTATTAGTGAAATATATTCTACTTAAGGAGGAGGACAAGCTACTTTAGTCAGAAATTGTCATAAATCTATCGGAGGGAAATACCAACAGGCGAACGGTTTGTCCCGAGTGAGGCAACATTTTTCGAGTGCAGCCTGAGCCACTTTAGGAGGCTGTGTGCGTTAAACTGGGGTTAAAAAATTGAAAACCAATACCTGTATCATAAAATATAACTCTTTGGGAAGACATTTACATCAATGAAATGACTATTTGTGAGAATCGCCCATATCCGACTTTTTGCAGGTTTCGATCCACCGTGCGTCGCAGAGCGCGAGGTGGCGCTATAAAAGCGACTTTATGTATGTATGTATCCTTACTGAAATCCACGGAAAAAAATTAAAGTACACTTCGGTAGGAAATGAATTATGAGCGAATTTGGGCTCAACGTACTGGCTTTTAATTTTCTGCTGTCAACAATTTCGAAGTCGAGAAAAAATGTTTAGTTTGTACAAAAAGGATTTGCAAGTTACTTTTTTCCATATAATTTTACGCACATAAGAAATCCTGATATCTTTTTCTCGGATCCAACATAATGCCGGTTGGTTACTTTTGGCAGATGGGGAGAGGAGAATGATGAAATGGCAAAGGAATAACCAGGGAATAACCGAAAAACACGAGGAGTTGAACAGGGAACTTGATAAATGGATTATTTTCAGAAATCGCATACCCCCAAGGCTACTTTTTAGAGTTTATCACAAAAATCTCGAATTTCGTACCTTTTCACGAAATATCCGCACCTTCTCCGGACCGACCTTCCAAAATCCGTGCTTTTTCAGAATATCTGTCGCAGGCAAATGGTGAAATCAGGTTTTTTGTCAAATGCCCAGGCAGATAGTCAAATTTTGACGGTCTACAAAACTTTGTGAATTTATGGCGAAGAGCTCACGATTTTTCACCATTTTTGGAAAAAATAACTCATCAAACCTGCGAACTCTTTTTGTCTCTTCCTCTTCAATTGCTTCGCATATTTTTAAATGTTGAAATTCCAAAAATTCTGTAATTTTATGACATGCTGAAAATGTCAAGATCAGTGTCTCTTCAGGAGCTAAAAATTGTTTAAAATACTATTGTGAATGCAAATTTTTACTGAGAGTTTTTTCTTGCTGGAGCAATGAATTACTTTGTCTGAAATTAGGAAAAGAAGCAGAA